GCCTGGCTATTTTTTGGTTGTAGCCATCATTGTTGTTTGGCCGGCCTGGGCTGGATTCAAACCTGCCACCTCAGGTGTATGTGACTGGCGCCTTAGCCACTTGAGCCACACGCACCGAGCCACTAGTTTTTTTCTGTAGAGACAGGTTTCTACTCTTGCTCTGGCTGGTCTTCGCCTTCTGAGCTCAGGAGATCCACCTACCTCAGCCTCCCAGAGTGCTAAGATTACAGGCATGAGCCACTACACTCGGTGAAATATTTGTTTCATTTTCTGTGTTAGTTTGCCTTCTAAAACTCTAATCCATATAAACTGAGAGAAAAATCACCATTAATTCCTTTTGAAATGCATGGTCTACATCTTTGAAGGAACTCCTGGTGAAGATTTCGATGGCTTCCCTCTCACTGGCCCTGTGCAGGTCCAGCAGCTCCAGGAGGGTCTCTGTGGGCAGCTCCACCTTCTGGCTCATCTGCTGGTCATAGTAGGCAGTGGCCTTTTGCACTGCAGCTGAGTTCTCTATCTGAGCCAAGGCCAGGACTGCGTTCTCCATGCAGGGCAGATCCCCACTGCTGATGGCCTGGACATAGGTCTGCACCAGACTCTCTAGACCTACAAATAGAGAACAAATGATTGGTTGTAGATAGAGTGGAGGAAGTTTTCTGTTCTGCATAATTCTGAGCTTTTTTTAGATATTTGCCCAATTAATGTCATGAGCATCATGGGGAAACCTGACACAAATACAGATTATTAGGCCTTCAGACCTACCAAAATGGAAACTTCACTTTGATAATACAGGGAGTCTCTGAGTTACAAATATATACCTTTTATATAGCACATACTTGTGAATGGAGGCCATTGCAGTCAGTACCCAAGTTACAAACATCTGGCTGACATATGACTTGCACTTTTGACGGAGATTATTACAGGTAATGGGTAAATTACATATTACCTGTTTCAACTTACATACAAATTAAACTTAAGAACTACAGAAATCTCTCTTATAACCCCAAGACTGCCTATTTACCCAGGTGATATGTATGGACCCCAAAGGTTGAGAATCCCTGTTCTATATCAGGGAAGCATGTGTTTATTGAATGTATCTACTGGAGTGCTAGGTGGGGTTCCTGTCTGAATCCCACCTCTCTCATTTATGTCTGTGTCATCTGTCCTATGCATCATGCCCCATGGTTAGCTTTTAATAAATATTTGTAGAATAAAGTATGCCATCCAAGTCAGATGGATTTGGTTTATTCAAACTCATTCTATTGTTGTTCAATAGAACTTTCTGGGATAAATAAAATGTTCTATGTGCCGTCCATTATGGAAGCTACTAAGTGTAAGTCACTCTCAAGCCCTTTAAATAATGCTATGTGATCTAAATTTTTAATTCTCTAATTTTACTTAAATTGTATTTCAATTGAAATAACAACACTTCTGTCTATGGCTACCTAATTGCACTGTGTAAGTCCAGAGTGCCAGGACAATACTATATATTAAGGATAGAGATTCCCTTTACCTTGGCTTTAACTATCTTCCCCGACCCCAAAGATTTGACTAATGTTAAGCATTCAAGAAATTATAGTAGTAGACCCTGCATTTCTCAAAGCTGAACATAAGCAATGTTATTTCAACCCCTTCTTAGTCTTAACAACGAGTGGAAAGACTGGGAAGGGGACTCACGAGGTCCGTTGACCTTGACACCTCCTGGAAGAGTTTTAGTCTTGGAATGGCTGAAAGTGTAGCAACAGAATTCTTCCACTTGATTTAAAAAATCAGAATCCACCTCATCATCATCCAGCATTTCAAGCTCAGTAAGCTTTTTCCACTCAGTGGGAGGGTAGAAGACAAAGCATTTCTTAGTTGGGAAGAACGTTCGGATACAGAGTCGGGGCAAGTTATAATTTTTATCTTTTTCAGTGGTACCTGGAGAAAAACAGAAGGGGTTGTATCTACAACAGTGTTTTTTAAAAATCCTATTAGATTATATTTTTAAAATTCAGATTAATATGACAGCACAACCTATTAGGTTACATTGTTCCCATTTCTAAGGTAAAGTTCAAGTTGTAGTTGAGGTAATATGTCATCTAAAATTTTCTTCAAATATATGTTCCTTCTACTGCATTTTCTTTAGCTGTGTGCAGCTTCACAAAAGCTAAGGAGGAGACAGTACAGGGAAGAGGTCGAGGAGTTTGGAAGGCTAGAGATACCAGTCACTTCCCTCCTCCACAAAGAAGGAACAAAACACATTGAATAGAGCATCTGAAAGAGAGAACCCGGGAATTCAGCAGGGAAGTGATGGGGGCCCCATGAGGCACAGAAGAGGGAACCCAAACAGCCACCTGGCTAGCACTGGCTAAGAAGCAGGGGGGAATGCTCTGTTTGGAGAAAAAAATAAGCCAGAGATCACCATCAGTCCACATTCTGATATAGACACCAGAAATCCTGGCCATAGGAGAGCCTCTGGCCCTCACAGTCTCTGAGCCTAGTATAGGTATTCACCCTGACTCCACTTGAGAGTCTGGAGATGTTCCAGAGAAGTTTACACTGGGTTTCACTCACCACTCCAGACCCAAGTACCTAAAGCATGGAGCTATACTAAAAACCCAGCACTCACCAGACTAACCCTGCCCTTGCCCAAACTCCTGCATCTCCACATCCTTAGAACCCTACAGACAGCCCCTCATCTCCACCAAAGTGCTGCAGAGTCCTGATGCCAGCCTACATCTCAGGGAATAGGTAGTTTAGCACATCAGGACATCTGTCACCAGGACAAAGGGGATTGAAACACCATTTCCTAGAGCATGAGTGCCAACTGCCCTCTACCTGTTGCCACTGACAGCAACCCTACCCTCTTCAAGGTGGGGTTATCAAGCATTAGGTGAACCTTCTGGGGTCTGAGAATAGTCCTATAACACTAGCTCCTACTAGTAATTAGGGTTTGCATGCATGTGGGCCAGAGGTCTTAGGTGAGGCCTGTCTTTCCAGCCATCATGAGTGCCTCTGCACACAGTGGTGGGACCTGGGGAGGTCCATCCTGCCCACCAGAGCTCATGTTTGTGCAAGCCATCCATGAGCCTAAAGACAGGACTGCCTCACCTAGGGCCACTATTGCCACAGTCAGAACTGAATGCAGCACCCACATCCCCAGGGTGGGTCTTCCCTACCTGCTGCCACAGACCCCTGTGTGTGTCTTGTGGGGACCAAGGGTCTGGACTACCCAAGTTGTTATTGCCATTGCCCACCTGCACCTACCACCTGGCTGGCCGGGTCTTGGTCTGGTTAGCCTGCTACTGATAACAGGGTTTTTCCCACTAAGGACTAGACAACTGACTCCAGTTTTCCAGGCCTAAACAGATGTTTTTCTCTCTAAGCCACAGTCTCTGAATACCCCTATGGCTTTTTCCCAGAGCAAGAAGTACTGCATTGATTTGTTAACTACTGGCATTCAGTCACTAATCAACATTGAAGGCTGCCAAGTCCCAGCCAAGTGTAACTACCCCCAAACAGAATAAAAATTCCTAGAGGAAAGACTCACAGGGGTGTTTCCCACTTGGGTCTTTCCATCCTGCCAGAGGCTCTGGTGCCTTCCCTCCCTTCCCTGTTCCTTTGTATCTTAATAAAAATTCTATCTTATCATTGATCTCTGTGGTCCATGGGTTCATTCTTTGGAATGAACCATTCTTTGGTCTTGGAATCTCCAAGACTGAGGACCTACTGCAGAAAGAAATTCTGGTAACAATACTACCACAGCACTGGCCATGGAGGAGCCTTCACCACTACTGCCACTGCAGGCATAATACATACAGCCCAGGGACTTGAAGGTCCACCTGCTCTGTCTACCCCTGTCAGCCTGCACCTGAGCAGGTTGCCTGGGGAACTGAGGACTGGCCTGCTGGGGTTTCCCACTGCCATCAATGGTGTCTGAGGACCAGCCCCATGATGGCCTATCTATCATCATAGAAACACACAAAAGTATAAAAATCACTAGTTGAGCAGATACACAGGGAGAAAGAGAAAGGAATCAGGCATTATCACTATAAAAACCCTATCAACTTGTAAAGGAGAAAGTAAAATTGTCCTTCTTTGCAGTTGCCATGATCTTATGTAAAGGAAAACCTGAAGACTCCACCATAACACTTTAAGAACATTCAATAAACTTCAAGGAAAAAAAAATTATACACAAAAATCAGTAGCAATTCTATACACCAATAAAGAACTGATTTAAAAAATCAAGAAAACAATTGCATTTACAGTAGCCACACACACAAAATAAAATACCTAGGAATAAATTTAACCAAGGAGATAAAAGATGTCTACAAAAACAAACAACAGTGATAACAAACAAAATAAAGTATAAAACATTAATGAAAGAAATTAAATAGGACACCTACAGAAGGACTCTCCATACTCATGGATACAAAAAAAATTAATGCTGTTAAAATGATCATACTATCTAAAACAATCTACTATCAAATACAAATCACATTTTTGTACAAATTTGTACAAAATACAAATCACACCCCTATCAAAATACAAATAACATTTTTCATAGAAATAGAAAAACCCATCCTGAAATTCATGTGGAGTCAAAAAGAAACACTGAATATTCAAAGTAATCCTAAGCAAAAAGTACCAAATTGGGCGGGCATATCACATTAACTGACCTCAAGTTTTACTACAATACTAACTAACCAAAACAGCATAGTATTGGCATAAAAGTAGACACATAAATCTATGGAACAAAATAGTCAACTCAGAAATAAAGCCACATATTTACAGACACCTGGTCTTTGACAAAGCTGACATACACTGGTGAAAGGATACCCTTTTTAATAAATGGTGTTGGGAAAATGCAGAAGAATGCGATATGCAGAAGAATGAAACTGAATCTGTAGCTCTACCTATCTATGAAAATCAACAATCAAAAAGGTAGATGAAAGACTTAAATTTGAGACCTTCTTCTGTAAAATTATTAGAAGATAGCTTAGGAAAAATTCTTACAGACATTGGTGTAGGTAAAGAATTCACAACTAAGTTCTCAAAAGCACAGGCCACAAAGCTAGACAAATGGACTTAATTAAAGGGCTTTGCAGAGCAAAAGTAAGTATGTAAGTAAATAAATAAATAACAGAACAAACAGACAACTGGTAGAATAGAAGAAAATATTTGCAAACTCTGCATCCTACAGGGGACTAATATTCAGAACTTACAAGGAACACAACAACAACAAAAAACAAAGAATCCCACTAAAAAATGGGGAAATGACATATAGACATTTCTCAAAATAAGAAATACAAACAGCCAACAGGCGTATGAAAAAATACTCAACATTAACAATCATGAGAGAAATGCATTTTAAAACCACAATGAGATATCATCTTATACCAGGTAGGTTCACTTTTGATAAAAAGACAAAAAGTAACAGATATTGTTGAGAATGAAGAGAGAAGGAAATGCTTATTCATTGTTGGTGGAAATGTAAAATAGTATAACTTATACAGAAAATGGTATGGATATTTCTCAAAGAACTAGATGTAGACCTAGCATTAGACCCATCAGTCCCACTACTGGGTATCTACCCAAAGGTAAAAAAAAAAAAAGAAAAAAATTCTATCAAAAAACCACTTGTGCTTGTATGTTTATTGTAGCAATATTAGCAAGAGCAAAGATATGGAATCAACTTAGTTGTCCATCAGTGGGGATTAGATAAGGAAAATGTGATCTGAATACACAATGGACTATTATTCAGCTATACAGAAGAATGAAATCATGTCTTTTGTAGCAGCATGGATGGAACTGGAGGCCTTTATTTTAAATGAAACAAGATAGACACGGAAAGACAAATACTACATGTTCTTCTTTACAAGTGGGAGCCAAGTAATGTGAATACCTGGATGTAGAGTGTGGAATTTAACACAAACACAATGTGGACTTGGAAGACTGGGATGGAGGGTGGAGGAACATAAATTACTTTATGAATACATTGTACACTATTGGGGTGATGGATAGCTTAAAAGTTCTTAGTTTACCACTATATCTACACATGTGACAAAATTACACTTGTATCTTATAAGTTCACATGAATAAAAAGATGCAAAGTATACTACTAAGCTGTAGTAACCAAAACAGCATGGTTTTGGTAAAAAGACAGACACATGGACTAATGGAACAGCATAAAGAACCCAGAAGTAAATCCTTGTATCTGTGACCAACTGAATATGTGGTGCTGCTAAATCTGGATTTCCACATGCAGAAAAGTTAAATCATTTACCATATACAAAAACCAACTGACAGTAGATTACAACTTAAACCTGAGACTCCAAACTGTAAAAGTAGTAGAAGAAAATGTACAGGAAAACTTCAGTACATTGATCTAGGCCAATATTTTGTGGCTAAGACTTCCAAAACACAGGCAGCACAAATAGACAAATGCAGCTGTATTAAACTAAAATCTTCTGCATGGCTGGGCACCCATGCTCAGTGGTTAGGGCACTGGCCATGTGCTTCAGAGATGGTGGGTTCAAATCTGGCCCAGGCCTGCTAAACAAACAAACAAAAGAAAAATAGCCAGGTATTGTGGTGGGCACCTGTAGTCCCAGCTACTAGGGAGGCTGAGGCAAGAGAATTGCTTGAGCCCAAGAGTTTGAGGTTGCTGTGAGCTGTGATGCTACAGCACTCTAACAAGGGTGACAAAGTGAGACTCTGTCTCAATTAAAAAATAAATAAATAAAATCTTCTGCAGAGAAAAAGAATCAACAATCAACAGAGTGAAGAGACAACCTATGAAATTGGCAAACATAATTTATAAACTATTCATCTGATCAAAGACTGATAATTTTCAAAATACACAAAGAACTCAAGAAACTCAACAGAAACACCCTCCCCAAATAATCCTATTAAAAAGAGGCCAAGGAATTGACCAGACATTAATCAAAGGAAGACATACAAATGGTCAAGAAATAGTACAGGAGAAAATTTTCACATCACTAATTATTAAGGAAATGCAAAAAATAAAACACAGAGACACCATCTCATCCCAGTTATAATGGGATACTATCCTGAAGGGAAAAAACAATAACTAATGCTGGTTAGAATGCATAGAAAATGGAATTCTTATACTCTATTCGTGGGAATGTAAATTATTGCAGCCATTACTATGATGATTTCTCAAAATACTAAAAATAACACTGCTATATGATCTAGCAAATTCATTACTGGATATCTAGCCAAAGGAAAGAAAATAAACATATCAAAAAGATACTATGATTCCCATGTTTGTTGCAATACTATTCTAATAGCTAATATATTAAATCAAATAAATTGTCCATCAACAGATACATCAATAAAGAAAATGTGGCATATATATATATATATATATATATATATATATGGAATACTATTCAGCCATGAAAAATAATAAAATTCTATCATTCATGGCAACATATATGAACCAGGAGGATATTATGATAAATGAAGTAAGGCAGGCATAGAAAAATAAATGCTATGTGTTCTCACTTATCTGTGAGAGCTAAAACATATTTGAGCTCTTGGAAGTAGAGAATAACACTGTAGGTGTTAGAGGGTGAGAAGGGCATCAGGGAAGGGAGGATGGGGAAATGTTGGTTAACAGATACAATATTGAAGCTAGATAGGAGGAATGATTTTTTATGTTCTGTAGCACTGCAGGGTAAATGTGGTTAATCATAATTTATTGTATATTTTCAAAACACTAGAAGAGAGGATTTAGAATGTTCACAAAACAAAAATATGATAAATGTTTGAAGTGACAGATATGCTGATTACACTGATTTGAACATTATACATTGTATGCACTTAATGTGATACCACTCTGTATCACATAAATGCACACAATTATTATGTGTGAAGTAAAAATAAAAGAAAAAAAAAAAGAAACTTATTTCTATACCAAAGGAAGAGTATTGCAGTAAAAATGGAATCTTTTAAATCAGACACTAAACAGGACTTACTCCTGAGAAATAGCCTGATGAGTAGAAATAGCAAATTGTGAATGTAACTTTTATAATTTCACAATTTTTGTAAGTTATTATTTCACCTATACAAAATTATTAATTTCCTGGAAAACCTGGAAGAAAATATCCATCACCTTGTTTTAACTTCAAGGAAAACTCCAGGTACTCATCTGGAGTGAGGAGTTGCCCATCTGCTTCCAGCTTCAGGGTCACATCTCTCAGTGTCCACATGAAGTCTGGGAAGAAGCTCACAAATTCTGCTGAATCTTCCCCCTCATTGGCATCAGGTGAGGATTTTACCCTGAGTCGACCTGTCAACTCTGTCACATAGCTGAGAAGTTAACTAAGGAAAAGCAGCTCAATGAAGAGGGACCCCATCCCAGCTTCTTTCCACATGTCACAAATTCCTCATTCTGTCTTTGTTTTTAAAACTCAGTCAATTCTTCGGGAGAAGAATTGGGATCTTTCTCCTGTACTTGATCTTCTAAAAAAATATTTTCTCAGGCCAGGCTCAGTAGGTAACACCTGTAATCCTAGCACTCAGGGAGGCTGAGGCAGGAGGATCCCTGGCGCTCAGGAGTTTGAGACCAGCCTGAGCAAGAGCAAGATCCTGTCTTTACTAAAAATGGGAAAAAACTCTCCAGGCATGGTGGCAGGTGCCTGTAGTCCCAGCTACTTGGGAGGCTGAGGGAAGACAATCGCTTGAGCCCAAGAGTTTGAGGTAGCTATGATAGTTTGGGGGAATTTGAGAGTGCTATGGTGAGCTATGACACTATAGCACTCTACCTAGGTTGAGAGTGAGACTCAGTAAAAAAAAAAAAAAAAATGTTGGGTGACACCTGTGGCTCACTGAGTAGGATGTTGGCCCCATATACCAAGGGTGGCAGGTTCAAACCTGGCCCTGGACAAACTGCAACGACAAAAAAATAGCCAGGTGTTGTGGCAGGCACCTGTAGTTCCAGTTACTCAGGAGGCTGAGGCAAGAGAATCACCTAAGTCCAAGAGCTGGAGGTTGCTGTGAGCTGTGACACATGGGACTTTACCAAGGGTGACAGTGAGACTGTCTCTAAAAAAAAAAAAAAAAGTTGAGCTTGATTTACCATGACTTATAGACCTGGGTTATTAGTGCAGGTCTCTTTTCTCTTTGGATTGTTTTGCACCACAATGAAAGGATACTGCAGTTGGTCCATGGCCTGCTGGTTGATGGGTCCCATGCTGTTGTACACGAAGGTGCTGCTCAGGAGGATGGCCAGGGCAAAGATCCAGGAGTCATTCTGGTTGTCTCCCTGGAAGTCAGAACGCAATTTGGTCACGGGTATGTTCCAAATATCCAAAGGTAAAAATTATGCTCATCAAATTAGGATTTCTAGACTAATAACCTATCAAAGGAACTCACATCCAAACAGAAAAGATTGGCCTCTGAATAGTTATCGAATAGTATTTTTGAATTACACTGATTCTAGCTAGGTCTTACTATGATCACGGGCAGATAATTAGAAAATAGTTAAGGTTGGTGTGTGTGCATCCTAAACCTTTAAGTATAATTTAAATTAAAAATTTTTATTTTTTCTTAATAGGAAAATTGGGTATAAAATGGCTCATACTTGTAGCTATTTTTTTTTTTTTTGAGATGGAGCCTCAAGCTATCCCCCTGGGTAGAGTGCCATGGCATCACAGCTCACAGCAACCTCCAACTCCTGGGCTCAAGCGAGTCTCCTGCCTCAGCCTCCCAAGTAGCTGGGACTACAGGTGCCCGCCACAACACCTGGCCATTTTTTGGTTGCAGCCATCATTGTTGCTTGGCGGACCCAGGCTGGGGATTCGAACCCACCACCTTAGGTGTATGTGACTGGCGCCTTAGCCGCTTGAGCCACAGGAGCCGAGCCATACTTGTAGCTATTTTCAAGCAATTACTATGCAACTGACACATTGTTTTTCTTATTAAATATTTAAAACAATACAATGAGGCAAATATAGACCTGTGCCATCCATTTTGCACATCAGCAAGCTGAGGCTAAAAGAAGTCAAATAATTTCACATTACTAATGTGCATAAGCCACCGAGTTAGTGAACAAAATTTAAATTTAAACACAAAGTCATAGGGCTCCAAATCCATATCTAAAATCTCTGCAGAGTAATACTCATGACACTGAGTTTATTTGTGCTACCTTTTCATATTTTCATTGAGTCATATATAGCTCACTGTTGTTAATAGTCAAAATACTGTCTGTTGATCACAATGCCATCTGCTTGGATTCTTTTTTTATAAATATTTCTCTTAACTCCAGTTGCTAAACTTAGCCTTATAACGTGTTAAGAGATACTGTTTAAAAATATGGTTAAGTACAAGCTTTTATTTAAAGAAACACTAAATAGCATAGAGAACATGAAAGGCTTGTTCCAAAATTGAATTCTCAATTCTTACCTTCTCTACATCTCCCAGGCCTTCAGTGTCAAGCAGAACTAGGGTATTGTTTAACTTTGTGGGATGGGGCACACACCACATCCAGATTCCTTTGGTATGAGACTGCATTGTGTAACCCAGAGAGAAGCCTGCAAGGGTGAGTAAATTCAAGAAATTGAGATAAAGGCTCGGTGCTTGTAGCTCAAGGGGCCTTTAGGCACCAGCCACATACACTTGAGCTGGCAGGTTCGAATCCAGACCCGCCTGCCAAACAACAATGATAACTACAACCAAAAACTAGCCAGGCGTTATAGGGGAGGTGCCTGTAGTCCCAGCTACTTGGGAGGCTGAGGCAAGAGAATCACTTAAGCCCAGGATTTGGAGGTTGCTATAAGCTGTGATGCCATAGCACTCTACCCAGGGTGATAGCTTGAGGCTCTGTCTCAAAAAAAAAAAAAAAAGAAAGAAAAGAAAGAAAGAAATCGAGATAAAAGTTAGCATAACCAACGTTAGGAAACAACCTATATATCACAACGAGTATTGATTATATTTGGAATCAGAGAAACAGGGAAAGTAGAACACCTAATATATGAAAAAAATCACCACACTTTCATGATAGAAACAATCAAAGAACAAAAAATAGAAGGGAACTACCACACCATATATGAACAGCCCACAGGGATCATCATACTCAAAGGTGAAAGACTGAAAGCTTTTCCTGTAAGATCAGGAACAAGAGAAGGATGCCTATGTTTGCTAGTCCTTTCCAGAGTAACTAGTCAAGAAAAAGAAATAAATGGCATCCAAATTATAAAGGAAGAAGCAAAATGATTTGCTCACAGATGATATATAGAAAACTTTAACTATTCCACAAAAGAACTACGAGAACTAAAAGAGTCAGCAAAGTTACATCATACCAGATCAATGTGCAGAAGTCAGTTGCATTTTTATACACTAACAATGAACAATCTGAAAAGAAAAGTGAGATGAAAATTTCATTTGCAAGAGTATCAAAAGAATAAACTACTCATGAATAAGCTTAAACATGGAAGTGAAAGATATGTAGCAAAAATTATAAAATAGTTTTAAAAGAAATTAAAGACACAAATAATTAGAAAGACATTCTGAGTTGATGACTTGAACCACTTACTATTTTTAAGATGTCACTACTACAAAAAAAGTGATATACAGATTCAATGCAATTCCTATCAAAATTCCAAATTACATTTTTATAGAAATAGAAAAAAAATCTACCCTAGTTTTGATATGAAATCTCGAGATATCTCCAAAAATACCTCCAAAGAGTGAAAAAAAATCTTAAAAAAAGAAAAATAAGTGGGTGGCACCTGTGGCTCAAAGGAGTGGGGCACTGGCCCCATATACCAGGGGTGGCAGGTTCAAACCTGGCCCCGGCCAAAAAAGAAAAAAAATAAAGTTGAGGTCTTACACTTTCTGAGTTCTGAAACTTACTACAAAGAATGAAAACTGTGGTACTGGCATAAAGAGGGACATATAGATTAACGAAAGAGAAGAGAGAGCCTAGAAATAAACTTGTATACATATGGTCAAATGATTCTCAGTAAGGGTGCAAAAATCATTCATTGAAGAAAGGAGAGTTTCTTCAACAAATGAAAATAGTACTGTTCATATAAAAAAAGGAAAAGAGAATAAAAAAAGAAAAAAAAATGCTCTGTTACCTTCTATCTGTATAAGACCTAAAACAATAAAATTCGAAAAGAAGACATAGGGGAAAAGCTTTATGGAATTGAATTTCTCAACGATTTCTCAGATGTGACACCAAAAGCATAGACAACAAAAGCAAAAAATATCTAACCATGTCTTCATCAAAATTAAAAGCTTTTGTATATCAAGGGATACTATCAACAGAGCAAAAAGGTAACACATGAAGTGGGAGAAAATATTTGTTAGATATGTAACTGACAATGCACATAGCAAACTGTGATACAGTTCAATGCAGTGTAACACAACTAGATTAAACAATGAGCAAAGGACTTGCACAGACATTTTTCCAAAGAAAATATACAAATGGCCAAGAATACATGAAAAGATGCTCAACATTATAAGTTATTAGGGAAATGTAAATAAAAACCATAGTGAGATACTACTTCATAACCATTCTTGGCTGCTGTCAAGAAACCAGAAAACAGCAAGCATTGGTGAGGATGTGAAGAATTAGAACTCTTGTGCATTTCTGGCATAAGTTTAAAATGACAGAGTCACTGTGGAAAACAGTATAGTGATTCCTTTAAAAATGAAATATATTTATAGGGTGATCATATGAGACAACAATGCCACTCTGGGTATAAACCCAAGAGAGGTGATAGCAGGAACAACATTAATTCCAGAAATATTCATAAAAGCAAAAAAGTAAAATAACCCAAGTGTCCATCAGCAGATGAACAGATAAACAAATTGATATCTATTTGCAATTTTTCAGCTTTATAAAGGAAGAGAGTTTTGACACATGGTACAACATTGCTGAACCTTTGAGACATTATGCAAATTGAAATAAACCAGTCACAAAAGGACAAACAGCGTATGATTCCACTTATATAAGGTTCCTATAGTAGTCAAATTCAGAGTCCAGAGTGCTACTATTATACAATGTAATAGTAATCAAATTCATGGAGACATAATGTACAATGATGGTGGGATATGGGCGAGGGTGAAGGTTTTGATTAATGGGCACAAAATTTCTGTTAGGGAAGATGAAAAAGTTCTGGAGGTAAATGGTGGTGAAGGCTGCACAACAATGTGAATTTACTTGAGGTCACAGAACTGTACTCTTAAAAATTGTTAGAAAGGTTGTAGGGCAAGGTGGTATATTCCTGTAATTTTAGCTTCTTGGGAGATTCCTTTGAGCCTGGGAATTTGTGACTGCCTTAAGCAACATAGAAAGACCTTGTCTCCCCCTACACCCACAAGAAAAGTTTACAAGGGAAATTTTATGTTATGTATGTTCTACAATAAAAAAGAAAATCCACTATAGAGTCGAACAGTTTTCTACCTTTAGTGTTCAGTGGAAACTTGATGTTCCTATATGAATATATAGTTCATTACGTATATTAATCACTACCACCTTACTTCTAGAAAAGGAACAATTTATGCTTTTAAAAAGGGAAACCAAAGCATAGTAGGAAGAGTTAGTGAACTGACTCTTATCCCTTAGAAGAAAGTGAAAATAAAAAGCCCAATCATGAGTGAAAAATTAGCTTTCAGTAGTCATCCCTGTCTTAACCTATTTAGAGTTGCTATAAAAGAATAGCTAAGACTGGGTAATTCATAATATTTTTTATAAGGTTTATTTGGCTCATGGTTCTGCAGGCTCTATAAGGAACATGGTGCCAGAATCTTTATATGGTAAGGGCCTCACACTAATTGTATTCATGGTGGAAGTTGAAAGGGAGTCAGTATGTAGAGATCGCATGGTGAGAGAGGAAGCAATAGAAAGAGCAGAGGGAGGTGACAGGTGTTTTAATCAACTCTCTTATGAACTAAACAAGCAAGAACTCACTCATTGCCATGAGGATGTCACCAAGCCATTCATGAGGGATCCACCACCATGACCCAAACACCTACCATTAGGTCACCATCTTTAAGATTAAAACTCAAATTTCAATATGAGATTTGGAGATTTAACAAAAAATATTTGAACTATATCAATCTCCATCTCTAGCTTTCTCTCCTCATATCCCCAGACTAGATGTTGACGGTACAGGTAGACAGAAGGGTATCATCTGAGCTTTGCAGGTGCCACTCACCCTTCTTCTTCCCAGCCAGCTTGTTCATCAGGTAGGATTTACCCGTGCGGTAGAGGCCCACAATAGCCACCACCACCACGGGCTCCATGATGCCAGACAGGATCTCCAAGGCTTCTGGATTAACTTTCAGTTGCCCTTTGATGTTCTCAATGAGACATACTGGGCCTGGCATGTGGATCTCTGAGGCCATGTTCAGGGTGTTCTCTTATCTGCAAGAGAATAAATGGAATAGAGTAGAATTTCCAGCCTTTTGCATTCAAAAGGAAGAGTCTTAAAATTTCCCACCAGGCCTAAAAATTCAATGGGTAGGACAAATGATTGAAAATCTGCATCATTATAGAAAATTAGGGAAGTATCATCAAAGCAGTTTGCTGTAAGAATGTTGGTATATCAGTGACCAATGTTCAATCATTCTCATGGTCCTGATCTTTGGTTTAATTTTTTTGTGGAAAACTGTTCTTCTGCATCCTTATTAAAATGTGTTCTAGATAGCAAATGGAAAATGGAAGAGGATTTATAAAATTCATTTTGCCTCCTGGCTATATGAAAGAAATTCAATATTTAGTTATTAAATTTATTTACTTCTTATAACAGTGCATAAAGATCCTCATGAATAAATGTTTCATTGTTTGATGGATGCCTCTTGGTTCTATTTCCAAAGATTTTAAAGGTGTTCCATCCTCCACCCTAACTAGTTATGCATTTATTTCATTCCATTTAGGAATGGAACCAATATATCTTCCTTTTGAAAATTTTATAAAATTATGTGACCATCTGAAAGCATAGCTGGGGCATGTGCAAGACAAGGGCCTTGAGATGTAAGCTGCATCAGCTTCCCAGTAAATTGGCCTCTAACTCAGTGGGAATATGAGTGTACAACTGCAAATACTGAATGTTGCCAAAAAGACTATGAAATAAGAATTAAAGATTAGGAGGCAGATCCAGAGAGGTGGATGGGAAGTTGTTCAAAGAAAATACTGTCTCTGTTTCCAGACATCCACTTACAGGTTTTCTGTTGTGTTTTGTTTTTCTGTTTGGTAGGGAAGGAGAAGGAGGAATGGGAAGAGAAGGAAGGCAAAGAGTGGGGAGGAGGGTCTGGAAAGGAGAGAGGGAGAGCTGTCAGGCCAGAGGGGATGAATGAGGCCAGTGCCCTGTCAAGGAATTCAGGGGAGGAGTTTGTAGAAGGCACATTAAATAAAGTTTTCTGAGGGCTGAGGAAGGGCACGATAAACAAGATGTGGCCTTTAGTGATTCACTATAGGAAATCAGTCAAAGAAGAAGCTCATCAGTAAAGTATTGAAAAAGAAACTGTTTGTATGGTGGACAGAGAGAGCCAGCATTAAATTAGTGAGTCTGGACTATTTCTGAAGGGAGAAATCTACTCTGAAACAAAATTCAAATGTAATTATAGCTCAGTGAGTAGGGCGCTGGCCACATACACCAAAATTGGCACGTTCGAGCTGGGTCCAGGCCTGCTAAACAACAATGACAACTGCAACCAAAAAATAGCCGGGCATTGTGGTGAGTGCCTGGAGTACCAGCTACTTGGGAGGCTGATGCAAGAGAATCGCTTAAGCCCAAGAGTTGGAGGTTGCTGTGAACTGTGACACCAAAGCACTCTACTGAGGATGACATTGTGAGAGAAAAAAGAAAGAAAGAAAGAAAGGAAGAAAGAAAGAAAGGGAGGAAGGGAAGGGAAAGGAAGGGAAGGGAAGGAAAGGGAAGGGAAGGGAAGGGAAGGGAAGGAAGGAAGGAAAGAAATGAAAGAAATGAAAGAAAGGAAAGAAAGGAAAGAAAGGAAAGAAAGAAAATGTGGTGCCCTCATGACTCTTCACCTTCCACTCTGGGTTTCAGTTTGTTCCTCTTTGTCTTTATCCGTGTCTGTCAATGGGCCCCTTAGCCTGCATCTCATTCATTGTGCTTTCCTTCTCAGGAAAATAACCCAGTGGAAGCCTTTTTGATGTCTTAGCTGCTGTTGGAGCAGGATCCAGCAAGCTCCATCAAAGACAATGGAAATGTGTGTCTCTGGTCAACACAGATAATGTCAGCAGAGAGAAAAGCAATCCTAGCCACTTCAAACTCTTAGTTTATCCCCTGTCTGCTGGTGCCTAATTCAACATAAGCACAGTACAGGCATTTAGGGACATGCTGCCTGGTGATATCAGGATTTCACCTGACCTATGTCCCACCTCAGGCTCAGCTACAGCCTAATTGGGTTGTGATTATTTTTGTTTTATTTTATTTTTCATTTATAAAAACACAATTGTAAATTATTATTATTTTTTCAATAAATTTAGGTTGTTTATTGGAAATAGTTCTCTCCCCCCCTTTTTTTTTTTTTGCAGTTTTGGGCCGGGGCTGGGTTTGAACCTGCCACCTCTGGCATATGGGGCCGGCGCCCTACTCCTTTGAGCCACAGGCATTGCCCAATTTTTATTATCTTTGCAGATCATGATCCATACAATTGTAATAGTTAAGAAAAAAATTATTTTGTTGTTTGTTTGTTTTTTGTTCTGGTTAATTTTAAGAAAACTAACTGACCTGCACACCTCCCTTCTCATCCCCCTCCCAACCTCATAGGCACCTTGTGCCTGAGCAGAGCTGGAGGAAGAGATGCTTTGATGAGAAATAGTTAAAGAGTTCTTACCTGTTTCTTTCCTCAGTTCAGGGAGAGTGATCTCTAGTTCTCTGTCTCTCACCAGATCCTTGGACTTTTATTTCATACCTCAGTGTTAGGGAATTTTCTGGTCATTGACCAGGTGATCAGAGGTCAGCAACCACTGGAACAGATGTAGAGCAATATAAAACTGAACTTTATCCGAGGCAAAAAGTCAAGAACCCATAAAAGGAATCTTTCAAACTGTGTTTAGTGAGAGGGTTAAAATGATTTCTGAAGCACAAGCTTTAGAGATTTTATCGATGAGATCTTAGAGATTGTTTGGTGTTTAAAAAGTATCCATTAGATAGTGACTATTATAGGATATGTCTCAAGATGAGGGATCAGTTTGAGAATCCTAGAATGAGGAGGCATTATATTTTTTAGATAATTTTTAAAATAAAGAATACACTCACAATTGGTTGTTAATGTAGAGGTACAGCTAGTGAGGGAAAGACCACATCTTATACATTTGTGAATATTGGGCACCTAATCCAGCACCTGGCTCATACTCTCCAGTACACCATTGTGAGGAGGGGTCCTATGTATTGTAAGCCTGTTCCAGGAGCATGCAGACTGCTTTACCAGGGTTGCATGACTTACATCTCTTAGCAAATATTGCCTCATCATTTTATATAAAGCAAGGCACAGATTGATGTTATCAGTTGTCTAAAATCATAACAATCTAAGTAATCTGAAACCAGTTAGTCTGAACCAGCTCACTATGCTGAGTGAATAATTGTAAAAATAATGACTTTGGTTTATCTATTATTTCCTAAGAGCTATATATGTTACATGTTTAATTCAGTCCTGATTTAGTTCATGCAAAAGAGATGGCACTATTTTATGATGAAGACAAGAAGGCTGGGGTAGGGTGAGCTATCCCTGTAAATTTTAAAGTTAAAAATTTATGCTCTTATGCTATTCTTCCCTCTCCTCGTTGCTTCTGTAAAGAAAGAAGACAAAAGGCAAAAAGAGGAGAAAGGGAGAGATTCACAAGTTTTTTCCTGATCCTAGTAAACTTACGTCTTTTTTTTTGTTTGTTTTGTTTTTGAGACAGTGTCTCATTCTGTCACCTTGGCTGGAGTACAGTGGTATCATCATAGCTCACTGCAACCTCAAACTCTTGGGCTGAAGCAATCCTCCTGCCTTACCCTCCCGAGTAGCTGGGACTGCAGGTGCACACCACCATGCCCAGCTATTTTCTATTTTTAGAAAAAATAGGGGTGATGGGGTCTCATACGCTCTGGTCTAATTCCATACCTTGAAGTTAGTGTGTGAGATTTAACAAATGAGGATGTACATTTTTTCTTTCATCCTTTTCTAGTATATTTTAAAATACTATGGATAAGTAGTACTTTAATTTGCTTTAGACATTATATTTCTCCTGGGTCTTTCAGTTGCTGGAACATACTTAGGTTCTTTATACCTGAGAGGTCTTTGCCCCAGCAATATTCTGCAGGTAAAACTTTCCTACCCTGAACCCTATTGACAGTGCTGGTTCCTTAGTGTTCTTCAGGTCTCTTCTCAGGCATCTTCTCGGAGAGGTCTGCCATGACTCCTACTTCAATCTTCATCCCATCATCTTTTTTTTCCATATCCTTATTATGACTCGAAATTCAATTTCATGATACTAGGAATATCAAGGTATAGGCTGGTGTACACAGGATTTGAGAAAGATCTCTCCAAAGACTAGGACAGAGAAAAAAAAGAAAGCTGATTTACTTTTCTCTGTGTGGGAAAAGGACCAGCATGGAGATGGATGAAGGAAGAATGTAGTGACTTCAAAAACCAGCTGTTGAGGCTTTTTAAAGGGGTTGTAAATTGACAGATATGGGTTGAGAAACTGATGCATCAGCTCCTTGGTTGTTTTTCTTGGTGGCGCAGATAACAGAAACAGTGGGATGCGAAGTCCAAGAATTGGCTCCTCCACCTTTCCTTGGAGACAGGATTATCACAGGATTATTGCAGGTTATGTGACTCTGCTCTGAAGATATGCCTGAGTCCAGAGGTTCACACTCTGCTGCTCTTTAGAACTCCAAAGGTGTAAGCAAATTCTAAAAAGCAGTTTCATTTTCATTTTCTTTCTTTCATTTTCTTTTCTTTCTTTCTTTCCAAATGTTGTAAAAAAAGAACCCTACAGGGTGTCTGTCAGCTAGTTAGATAGGGGGAAGGAGAGAGAAGGCTGGGTAAGAGTTCACATGATTGATTTTAGAGGGAACTTCCTCCACTTGATAATGTTTTTTAGTATTTCCTTTTGACATGTCTTACAGAAAAGTTGCCAAAGAGTACAAAGAATTCCTGTGCAATCTTTACCCAAATGCCCCAATTGTTAATATTTTTGCTACATTTATTTTCTTTCTCTGTATGAAGTATTTGAGAGGTAGTGACGGATATAATGCCTCTTTACTCTTAAATAACTTATGTGTATTTCATAGAAAAGGAAAATAGTATTCTTATGGAATCACGTTATATATGCATTTATGTAAAGATTTTATTAGGCCATTTTTTTCGTAGTTGATTATTTTAAAAGCTAGCCTTCTGACTCT